CGGAGATTCACCCACGGATCATCGAGCAGGAGGCACTGTGGAGCTGTGAGCGCTTCCGAACACGAACACATTGTATAACACTTACAGTGGCTTGCGAGTACAAAGCGCGAGCAAGAGCTATCCTGGCGCGTTGGCCACCCGAAAGAGTGATGCCTTTCTCTCCAATCTCTGGGAGGAGATCAGCACTTGGCCGACGTGCATGTAGCAGAGACCACCTGTCATGTCGCAGCTTCGAAAATTTCCAGATCCCGGTTCAACGCACATGCTTCGATGACAGTCCGGTAGCGTTTTTCGTCGTACCCATATGCGGCACCGAAGATGATGTTGTCTCGGATAGTAGCATGCTCGAGCCCTGCTTATAATTAGATGCACTTAAACTTCGGACTTCGACTTAACAAGCTCACAGGGGTTTTGAGCGCAGTAGGCCACCTGATGTCCAGCCTTGTTAAGGATCACCTTTCCGGAAATGCAGTGCATCTCTGAAGAACCACATTGAGCACATGTCACCCAGCACAAGACACTTGAAGCGTACCTCCTAGCAAGGCCGCAAGCAGCGCGCTCTTTCCTGATCCTGTCGCGCCACTGACCAACGTCAACCTATCTTTAGGAAACTCGACGTTCAGTGGTCCCAGTCGGAATCTTGACTGAACGTCCCGCGGAGCAACGTCCCACTCAAACACCGCATCCTCGAAACCAACCTCATCCGGAAGAGACGCCGCGGGATTCGCAGCCATCTTCAGGGTTGACGCCCACTCGGGAACCTCTGCCTCCGCGAGGAACTTCTCAATGCGCTGCATGCTAACGTACGCTACAGGGGAAAGTTCAATGCTGGGGTGGAACTGCTTAAAGTGGACGACTCACCATGCAGCAAGGCGAAAAACTGTTCCGGCAGCAGCGTCATCGGCTCTTGTATGTACGAGAACAGCGCGATGGAGGTGAACGCCTTCGCGACGGTGAGCCTCTCGCCGGCTATGAGCGTGTAGCACAGGAATGAGGCGACGGCCGTCGCAGATGGGATCCAGGTCCAGATGAAGGTGATGAAGACTGAGACGATGTTGTCTTTGACGCGCCATTTGAGCTCGGTCTCTCGCGCTTCGCGGACACGAGCAGACCAGCGATGTTCTGTGAGTTTGTTTCGTAAGCAGAACAATCTTCACACTTGCAAGGGGAAATACTGCCACACCCCAGCCATAGTATTTCAGAAATCGGATGTTCTGGAAGAGTTCGTTTACGAGGTTCATGCGGCTGTCGCGGGCTGTCCAGGATTGACGCGTGACCTATACAGACGTTGAAAATCACGTCTACTCTGCTCGAATGACACTTACGTAGACGTTGTATTTGGCAAGAGGATAGTTCAGGACGTAAGCGACTACGACCACGACGACCGCAGCTAGCGAGCTCCATCCCAAGATCCTGAACAAGGCGGTAAGTATGTCGTCAGCATCGAGTACGGTTTACGCTTAAGAATTGACGCGCCGGTAAAGAAAGATGAGGGCAATAGTCAACCGTATAGGGGCCAAGAAGAATCCCGAGAACTGCCAGAAACGATTCGCCACCGCATACGCATCACCTCTGTTCGACATCAGCGAGGAAACCGTCAGACCTCGGCGAGACGACCGTACTGCATCAAGTTGACGATCCTCCCGAGATCGGCATTGTCATCTTCCTTGTCGTTATGGCTAGTCTTTCCGCCTACATCCCGTCTTCTCAAAGCTCTGTCAACCCGACCGTCAGCAACGGGGGATGGATGCCTCCGCGACGGAGACGCACTTGTAGTGGAGAGCGCAGAACAACTGCCCTCGCGTCCGTTCATAGCAGCGACGCGTGTACCAATTCTGGTACAAGTCGACCTGAGCGAAAGAGAGGTTCGCTAGGAAGGTCATGATGGCCCAGAAGTACGCTCGCTGCGTCGACGCGGGGGACGGGTTCGCGAGAGCTGAGAGGATCTCCTGTAATGCGTAGGGAGGGACGAAGCCTGGTTGCAATTGTCATCATTGGTTTTCGAGTGAGAGCCTGCATCTCGTTTGGGACATACCAAAGACAGCGCTCCATAGTTCTAGTAGAAGGTCCAGCGACAGGTCTAGTGAGTTGGAGGCAAGCAGGAACCACAGCAGGGAATGGGTTGGATGCCTTCAGCGGCGATCAGCAACATTGGTTGTCAAACGACAGACCGCTCCTTACTCTTCCTGATACCTCAGGTATTTCTTGAACAAGTTATTGTGCTTGAAATAGGGCGACAAGCTCCAGACATCCGCCTCATCGAGGGTCCGGGCTGTGGCGACCTTGAATAACGGCTCGACGAACGAAAAGGTTGACCACGACCACAGAGTCACGCTATCCTCTGGCATGGTCGCTGCGCTTGTCGGGACCTAGGAGAATGCGCACGTTCACATCGTACATCCAGGCGCAGACAGACAAGCCTATATGCTTACATCCGCATGTTTCGCGACATTCTGTGCTGGGAGGACTGATCGGAGGGGTAGCGACCCTGCCACCCAGGCCAACGCGGTCGGCCATGCCAATTGCAACAATACAAGCGTGGTGAGGGCTGCGTTGCGCTCGTCGGCGATGAACCTCTGAAGCAGGTCGACCAGAGCGATGGTCGCATGAACAAGGTAGAGCACGATCAGGAGGTACGGCGGAGTGACGGGCGGCTTGAACAGCACTCTCAGCACGATATATAGCTGCTCGAGAACGTGAATATATGCGAATTAGATATCGCAGACGGGGCATACCCAGGTCGTCGCCGCCACAGCTGCCTGCACAGACAAGCCCTTGTCCTCCACCACCGCGCCATAAACGAGCACGCAAATCCACACCGCACTCTCGAGCGCGGATCCCAGCACGAGGACTCTGGCCTTCCATGCCTCCGGAGCATCAACACGGTGTGGTTCCTCCTCCAGGTCCTCGAGGGTCAGGAAGTCCCTGAACGGCGACGCGAGCCTCCGGAAGACTGTCCGGATACTCTTGTGGAACCTGATTGACGACAGCAGATCATAGAGCAGCAGCAGCAAGCCTGCACAGCCTGGTAGGAGCGCGTTCACGAAGAGCTCCTGCTGCGAAGGAGACAACCATGGCTGAGCCGCGTTCAAGATCGTCGGGTGTGCCACCCATCCGAACGGCGACCGTGAGGCAGAGTCGTTTTGCAGTACGGCCTGAAACGAGCTCATCGCGGCAGAGTCTGAGTAGCGTCCGAATGGTCCTACACCAACGAAGGCGTCGGGCTTCAAGTAGCAAACATGGAAAGATTTTGAGAGACTTGGGCGCGCAGACTTCTCCGGAGACTCCGCCGGAGAAATCGCTGCTTTTCTCAGCTCTGCCGGATCACACATGTTCTGCTGAAGACTACGGTCTTCGGTTCCGTTGTGAGCGTGGACTGCTTTCGAGCACATGTGTTTCGGGAGCTTTGAGGTCAGGGAGGGCAACCTCCTTCGTCTACCGGTTGCGCAGATTTGGCGTGTGCGCCAGTACCGCCGACGTCTGCGTTTCGCAGAGCGTCAGATCGCGTCCTCTCATGATGTGTGGGAGGCTTTCTTTGGTTACTCACCCGCTCCGTGTGGCTCATGTCGCCTCGTTCCACTCAGTCCCTCAGCCGTACTTGGCTATGTTCCCAGCTTGCCGCGCCTCCTTCAGGAGGACGGGCATGTTCTATCCAGGGCTTGCTTCCGGGTTGTGGCGGTGGCACGACGTCTTCCCAGCAATGACATCTGATACCTTCTTCCAGTTCGATGGCGGTGGACAGTTCGGTTGCGGTGGACAGTTCGGCTATGGTATGTAGCTTCTTCAACTAACGGTGGGTATTTGGTTTCCGTCGCCTTTCGTTGCCGTCTGTGTTTGTTCTTATTTGTTATCTTTGTGGCACGTGGGGGGCTCCTGGCCATTGGCCGGTCGCTTTCTAAGGGAGTTGTCTTAGTTGACTTCGTTTAGAGCGACGGCCAGTGGGCCGACGTCATCGCATCACGTAGTTACACCAAGGAAAATTCCACCCCTCGTTTGACATCTCTCCTTTCCGAGACGTTAGAACGGTACTATTCTCGTACTCCGATAGTAGCTCGTGATCTCTTCGATCCTCCTCTCCAAGGGGCCTTTGTCCGCGCCCCATATGTCGTATATATACGGGTTGTTCTCGGTGTTCACGAAGGCTGGGATATCGTGGAAGGAGTGGTGTGGTTGGGGGTACGGGGCGAGGGCTGCGTACCGTTGCGTGTGGAGATGCTTCTCGAGGGCTCCTAGCTCCGCCCATGGAATTGGGACACAGAGGTTGCACGGCTCGGGGGCGCCTACTATGGTGAAGGACACCCAGTGGCGTCGGAGGTCCAGCGTGGACGCGAGGCGCCCCGTGCCGGAGTGTCCCGAGGCATTGTAGATGGATATGAGCGCACCGACTTTGAGTCGCTGGTCGGGACGCTGATCCGCTGTCCATGTGAGGCCCTCTCCTCTTCCCCACACCGGTCTCAGCAGGACTTTAACGTGGGTGGTTGGTTCTGGGTGGGTGAAGCGGACTCGGAGGATGGGGAGGGGGGCAGAGCGTAGGGCTGGTGGGTGGCCAGTGTTTGCCGCCTGGCGTGGGCGGTTCGTGCTCGAGTTTCGTCCCCTTTTCTTCTTTGGCTGAGCGTTATTGCAGGGCATATTGGGTTATGGGGATTATGTTGGGGATGGGGCGTGTCTGTCCATCCCTGTAGGTCTTTCTTGTTTTAACGCATGGCTTCATGGACCAGCGTTTAGATTTATGCTTCTCTCTGGTACGGAACCGAAAGCTTACGTTTATTTCACAGAGTTACGTCTCATCAAGCGCCTCTCTTGTAGGGAAGGCATGTTTATGACAGCATAGATAGTAACTATTTTGTTCGCTCAGAGGGTTGGGAGCTTCTGAGGGGAGGATGGGGCCCTGGTCCAGGTTCCAATTATGGCGTTTCGTTTCCTTTTATAGTGTCTGGCGTCTATTCTGCCAAACATGTGGTGTCTCGGTGTCACGGGAATTTTGGGTTCGGACATCTGCGGGTGCTGTGGCATGTGACTATATCGTTTGGGTCGGTGGCTGGAAACTTTAAAAATGAGGGGAGCGCTCGCGACTCCGGTGGTCCGGCGGCTTTTCCCGTGGGCGCTCACCCGTTTTAGGCGCTCTTTACTCGTCGTGTTAAGGTGGCTGCTCGTTGTGTGGCGGTTGTGCTGAGAGAAACGGGGAGCGCGTGGTTTCGGTTTTGGAGGCATTGTAGGCCTGAGGCATGGTGACCTCAATAGGGTGGTGTTCCCTAGTTTCCGACCCCTGTTTGGGGTGGATTGTAGAATATGTCTACGGATGGACTTTGGTGGGTCCGGGACTTCGGAGCTGGTGTTGCGTCCGGGTCCTTTCAGTGCATGTTGGTTTCGTCCCCATGGGGACTACTTACCCCCCGGACCACGAGAAGGTCTGCACAGGACTCGTCGACGACGAGCCCTCCCGGGGGAAAATCTTCAGCTTTATCAAGCGCTTTGCTTTCTGCCGTACGGTCTGATGCACATCGAAGATAGAACATGGTGACAATACGCAGTGCACCCTACAACGATGACGATACCAGGGTCTCTTTGTGACGTCAAGATAGATTGTACCGGCGAGTAAGTAGGAAAGGCAGACATACAATGGATTGGCTGATCTCTGGACGTTGTCGATCGTCGGCCTGACGCCATTATATTGCATGCGGCACAGATGTGTCGACCATTACTCGGGTAGATCGTACAAACCGCAGTGAGTGTAACAACGAACGTTGGAGAGTTTCTGTTTAGAGTGTACCGGGTATGTACTTGACGTCAGGAGGAAGAGTCTTGTCACTAGCCGTGAAAGAGAGCTTCCAGAGCTTGTAGGCAGAAGGCACGCTGGCCAGAAACGGCTAGTGCAGAGACTGTGCTTGTGTCGCACAGAAACACGGAGGTCTTGATCGCCGAGCGACGGGAGAACTTCATACAGTACTAGGATCCGACATGACAGCGCCAGGGAAGGCAGGGCCAGGGGGACGCAGTGGTTACACACCGATGTTGTCGAGCTGCCAGACGAGACACGCCCACCGCGCCCGACGGTCGGCACGGAAATTCGCAATCCTGAGTTGCGCACCCGACGTCGTGCGCGGATTCTTCTCGAAAGCGTAGGTATGGCGCCCCAGCTGCTTGCCCCGTAGGAAATAAAATTAGCATTACGACAGCGGATCATAAATGCGCACCTATTGGCTAAGACAGGGCGAACTATCATGGTCCGGTGTCCGCAATGCCTCCAAGCATCGTGCCATGGGGTAGACATCGGGGAGAGGGCAACTTGGGAATAGAGCTGCCCACTACTTGAGGAAGTTGTGCGCAAGAGTAGCCGGCTTGACATATGGAATTGCTGTCGGGCCAGAGTATGCCCAGAAGCGACTTGCGGGGAGTGGACGCGGACAGTGAGAATATTTGAAAGGCTTATTACCGCGGACGATGTAGGCGCTGTCGGGCGGCACCTGCTGATCGCCTACCCCCGCAAGGAGTATATAGAGACCCTCCGCCCCAGCGAGCGAGATAGCGCGACACTCCCAGACACAGCCAGCATACCGTCCCAGTTCTCCGTGCGAGGTGGTGGTCAAAGGACAAAGAGTCACGCATAGCGCTCGCCGCTCGCTTGCCGGCCCACGCTCCGACCCTCGACCCCATAGTCGTCCTTGCTTCACTCCACCATCATCTTCCACCCTTTACCTCATAACAGTCTCCTCGCCCATTCCCCGTCGGAGTCATATACTTCCTCAATTTCGACTGCTGGTCTTTGTCGTTGTCGGAGCACTCTCAGAACATCATCTTTCGCTCGTGTTCGACTCTATCGTCGCTACTCTGTTCTCGCACTGCTGTAACCACCTCGCCTCATTCTCTATACTATGGCCCCCGCTCTGACCCATCCGACGGCCGTGAATTTCATTGACGAGCAGCGCGCTGTCAACGCTGACGCCGCCACTTACTACGGCGGCGAAGAGCAGTTTAGTCGCTCACGGACGTACAGTGCCGTACGTTATCGGGTCTTGTTCTCATGGATATGCAGCTGACATCGCTCCTGGCAGTCCTTCGCCCACGGATACAATCCCAAGCGTGCGCCTGCCTTCAACGATGACTGGGTTCGGAGATCCCGGCGCATGTCGCACGACGAGAAAGGGACGGGCCCCAGGCGCTTCTTGATTGACGTTGAGGAGACTATCCGTGTAGTCCTAGAGCAGGAGGACACAGACGGTGACTTCCAGATCAGTGTGACAGATGCTGGTCCCAAACTCATGTCTCTTGGGACTGCGACGAGCAACGGCTTTAAGACGTTCGACATCCGAGCGAGTACCTCTCTTACACTCATTAGCACATTGCATTGACATCAATGTACAGGGAACGTACATGCTCTCCAACCTCCTCCAGGAGCTGGCCCTCGCTCGCGACCATGGCCGCAAGCGTATTGTACTAGACGAGGCGCGTTTGACAGAGAACCCTGTGGATCGCCTGTCTCGCATGATCAAGAACTCGTTCTGGCACGCATTGACTCGTCGCATTGACGGAGACGGACTTGAGATTATCTGCGCAGACCCAAAGAATCGTACCGGCCGCGTCAACCCCCGGATCTACGTACCGCACGGCGAGCCTGCAATGGCTGAGTACTATCGGAGGGTCGCGGCAGACAAGCCGCATCTGAACCTTGACGTCCAGGTCCTTCCGCCTGTGCCGGATGACCCGTACTTCGTGAGGAGCCTGAACAACAAGCCTGGTATCTTGGCTCTTGCTATGAACGAGATTGACGACGGCAGGGGTGGCAGGACGTTGAAGGGCATCCCGTTCGTTGTGCCAGGTGCTCGTTTCAACGAGGTGAGTCTGGGCATTGTGGCGTACCTGAACCTCTTGCTTATCCGTATCGCAGCTGTACAACTGGGACTCGTACTTCATCTCCCTCGGGCTCTTGGTTGATGGCTACGTCAACCTCGCTAAGGGCATGGTGGACCATTTCGTCTTCGAGATCAAGCACTACGGCAAGATCTTGAACGGTAGCCGGAGCTACTACCTTTGCCGGACGCAGCCGCCATTCCTTACGGACATGGCCCTCCAGATCTACAACCAGCTCGACCGCTCCGACATGGAAGCAAACCGTGCATGGCTCAAGCGCGCCATCCAGGCCGCCATGAAGGAGTATCACACCATCTGGGTGGCGGAGCCGCGCATGGACCCGAAGACGGGTCTATCTCGATACCGCCCCGAGGGACTCGGCATCCCTCCCGAGACGGAGGCGACGCACTTCACGCACATCCTGGAGCCCTACGCGGCGAAGCACGGGGTGTCCGTGCTCGAGTTCAGCGAGCGCTACACCGATGGCACCATCAAGGAGCCGGCGCTCGACGAGTACTTCCTGCACGACCGCGCCGTACGCGAGTCCGGGCACGACACGACGTACCGGTTCGAGAAGCGCTGCGCCAACCTCGGCACGATAGACCTCCAGGCGCTGCTGTATAAGTACGAGGTCGACATCGGAACGGCGATCAGGGAGGTGTTCGACGACGAGCTCGAGCTGGACGAGGACTTCCCTTTGGCGCCGTTCCCGCCGTCGCCCGAGTCGTACGCGAACCCGCATCGAGAAAGCTCCAAGGCCAAGCCGCAGAGCAGCGCGATCTGGTTCGAGAGGGCGGCGTTCCGAAAGAAGGCCATCGACAAGTACTGCTGGAACGAGACGAAGAGCCTGTACTTCGACTACGACACCGTCCAGGAGAAGCAGATTCTATACGAGAGTGTTACGGCGTTCTGGACGCTGTGGGCTGGGTGTGCGAGCGAGGAGCAATGCTGGAAGCTGATGTGCGTGGCGTACTTATACTCCGCGACTGAATTGCCCCACTGACAGCCTCTGCGCAGCTCGAACTCGCTCAAGAAGTTCGAAGTCCTAGGTGGGCTTGTGTCAGGGACGGAGGAGTCCCGCGGAAAGATTTCGCTCGATCGGCCTAACCGCCAGTGGGACTACCCGTGAGTTGGATTTCAGATGTCCTGTGTGCATCATGATGCTGACGCGGTGGCTTTGCACAGCTATGCTTGGTTAGTATTGTCTGTGCCGCGCTGCGGGTAGCTTGCTAAATTGCTTCGCAGGCCCCCTCATCAGATCATGACCTGGGTCGGTCTCGAGAGGTATGGCTACCTCGAGGACGCCCAGAGGCTCGCGTACCGCTGGCTCTACATGTGAGTGTGAAGCTTCAGATTGGGCCCAGACTCTGTCAGCTGATTGCGCCTTGAAAAGGATGACGACAGCTTTTGTGGACTTCAACGGCGTGGTTCCGGAGAAGGTGCGTTTGCAATGCGGTCTGAGCGTGACGGCGTGTTGACACGGCTCCGTGGCAGTTTGACGCGGTCAAGCTTTCCCATCTGGTGGATGCCGAGTATGGTAACCAAGGTGTTGACTTCAAGATGGTTCCGAGGGAGGGCTTCGGTTGGATGAATGGTGAGTACTGCCTGTAGGTCCACGGAAGGAGGATGCTGAGCACCCGTGGCAGCCGCCTACCAAGTCGGTCTGTCCTTCCTCTCGACAGGGATGCGTCGTGCAGTGTCCACATGCACCAGCCCAGAAGTGGTCTTCGGCGCGGCTGGCAACCTGCAGCCTGTGAACGCCCCGGTGTACTCGTCCGCGAACACTGATCCGCTCGACCTCGCCATGGAGCACTTGCAGCTCTCCGCACCTCGGGAGGCTGTCACTAGTCCGACGTCAGCCTAATCTATGATGAAATTATGGCCTGCGTACGTACTACCCTAATTCAACGCCCCTCCCAAGGGCATAATCCTTGTCCACGCGTCTACGTTTGTTCTGATCGCTATCCCAGCAGTTTCTTCCTCCTGACCACAAGTCTTGTCCATGTCACTTTTAGATGGTATATAGATCTCAATTCGCTGTGTACAGTACATAACCAAAAGCCAAACGTGCTATCTCAATATCTCATACCAACCATGTACATAGTCCACGCACTCTTTGCCTTATGGGAACAGTTTTCTTGATTTGCCGTGAGGTCCCCTTCAATGCGTAAGGTATCCGTATATGTATGTCGAGCGGGCAAGCTGAGCCACCGCAGCAGCCACTACGTCTGGACGATCATCACCTCTGCGACGGCATGCACCTCGATGCTCCTTTCGACGGTCACAGGCTTGCTCGCTCTCTTCTTGCCCTGGATCCATGATGACCTGAAGCCTGTCAGCCCGAAGACGCTGAATTTTCAGTTACGCCATTACCATGCAGTATCCTCGGAAGCTAAAGTGGTCTTCCATGATGCGCGTCCGTCCCAGAGTCTCGTAGCTCCTCCTCCTCCGGAATACGCTCTTCGTAGCAGAACAATCAAGACTCGCCGCCCTGTGTCTCTCTCTGCGTTTGCTGAAGCGCGTACACGATCAATCAGGTTCGCCCAGAGTGCGTTGCTCGACTG